GCAGGATCAAGACCTGAATTTTCACTTATTCCCGGTTCTCGAGCTTGGATCAACGTAGGAAAGGTCAGCGTCAAGGCCACCGCTAGCCCCAGGGGCATCAAGACACCACTTTCTCCCTGCAACACCCCATATCCGAGTACACACCAGGGATGGTTGTGGCGGGGGGAATACAGAGTGATTTCAGTGCTTTAATTAGTGGTAACTTTAATCAAGCCTTGCACACAACCCTCGTTCCAGACGCGCTCTCCGGGTGGCCAACAGCGAGCACTCAAAATGGCTTTAATTTATATCCAACACCTTAGAAACAGGTGGTGAGCCTGGAAGATTTGACTGGGAAACAGCATTTGGAGAGCCTCTTCCCTCCAAACAGCAGGAGCATCACCCAGCTGCCTCCAGCCCAGCTGCCTTCGGCCCTGCCCTGCTCCTCATCCTCACGGGGCCGGCAGAATCACTCATGTCATTGCAATTCAGCTGCCGTTTCCCTCCCGATGCGCCTGAGCCGGGCGTTTACAGCTTCAGTCTGGGCAGTCGGTTCTGTTCAGCTGCTCCCAAACACCTCAGAAAAAGCTGTGTTCGACTTCAGAGCTCCTTCAGAGCACGGTGGGAAAGAAAAAGGTGGTTATAGGGAGAAAAATAATCAGGTCTTTTTGCAAATTGATGAAAAACCAAGCCTAGCAAGGCTGGAAACGCCAGCTCAGGCACCGAGCACCAAGGCAGCGCAGATGGGAGAGGCTGCTTTTGGGCGGTTTCACAGGCCACCGGCTGGCAACGGCAGCGTCTGCCGCAGCCACATCACCGGTAACACGGTGAGAAGCAGCCTGCCCACCCTCCATTTATCTTTCTTTCAGGGCTGGTACATGCCCAGCATGGAGAATGGTGCTGCTGCATCAGCTAGAGCCCTCTCACTGTCTGCTTCACAGGGAATTTGGGTGCTGGAAGCAAACCTGACGCTGTGCAGTGAGAGGACGGCGACAGCTGCTGCAGCAGCTCTGCAGACACCATGAGGAGGAGGATGCAGCACCTCCAGCCCCGCAAAATCAGTGCTGATTCCTCCAGCAGAGCAGACAAAGAAACCACTGGCAAACGCCAGCACGAGGCACCCTAACTCGAGCCAGACGCTCCCCATCTGACTTTATAGCTCATAAAAACCAGCAAAGAGCCCGGACCCGCTGCAGCAACCTACACCAGAGCCAGTGGGTGCCCCCAGACCACAGCTTGCCCAGAGACAGCCCCTTCTCTCTGGTTTAATCCAGCCCCCTTTTACAGGTGGGAAATTGGGATACCAGTATTTGAGGTACCAGCCCCAAGGGTACGGATAGCAGCAGGATTACAACGGGGAGCAATATAGAGGAATTAAGACCAACACCTACATATTAAATCCAGCTCCTTCCAACAGACTGAGCCTAAACTCTCTTCGGTGACTGTGGCGTTTTCAGATGCTCCCACCCAGGACAGGACCTGGAGGTACCACACACAAGGAGCAGAAGCTCCCCCCAGTGACAAACACCTGCTCCAGTGACCTGTCCCCACACAGCTCTTCCTGTCACCAATCCCAGCACAACTACACAGCCACAAGACAACGTGCAGGTTGCTTTGCTTGTCAAATTTAACGATTCATTTATTGGCGGTCCTTTTAACACGGAGATCTTGATAGTGGCTAGGTTACTGTTGTTTACCAGACCAAAACCAGTTTATTTCCCTACCACACCAGACAAGGATAATGTTGTTACTGGTACTCACCAACCCATTCCTGCAGCACGGGGGAGGCTTAAAGAGGATCCTCCTCAAGGAAGGTGGGGCTGATTCACCCGGGCTATCACAGAGCAGGCAACCCGGGCAGCTGAAGCAGGCAGCGGTGAGGCCACACAACGTGCCCGGATCACCTCTGTGAAAGGGAACGGACAAAACGGCTGCATTTCAAGAGCGAGAAAGGAGCAGAAAGGCAAAACTGCAGCAGGCAGAGGACATGTTCCCTGTACCCATCCTCAATGTCGATCGCTGGAAACAATCACAGAGATGTTGCATAGAACTGGAGGGACAGTAAGGGGACAACTCCATCATCTCTTCCACAAAGATGCTTACTCTCACCCGAAAAAAAAAGCCACCTGCAGCGCATCAAACCCAAAAAGTGGGAGCAAGCAGCAGCAGCCTGACACCCTGCACCCCCACGAACCTGTGTGCTGATGGACGTACTCAGAGAAAAGACCCAGAGCTTTCCAATGAGACAGGAATTTATTTAGTTCAAGCGCTAAGGATTTGTTGTTGTTGTCGTTGTTTCATATTATCAAACAGAGCTGAGGTACCAGTGACATTCCAACATGAAGAAAAGGAACCTTTTTCCCCTTATACAATTTCTTCAACTACTCGTTATCAAGACAAAAAGTGAGTAATGGAATAGCTGCATAATGTACTGTACAACAATCAAGCCAGAGTGGGGAGGAGAAAAGAAACAGAGCAGAAACCTTCACTGTTTACAAAATCATCCTTTTAAAATGTCTGTTTCCAAGGTTCTACTGGTCATGTCAACAGAGCAAAATAGAATTATAAACCTAAAACCTGACAGACGGATGGCGCGAGGAATTATGGTGCAAAAAAACTACAGAACAAAAAATTAAGACCGTGTTGCTCCTGTGCTCACTTTGGAAATGTCTTTTCTCTGGAAAATTGGGATTAGGACAGGATTGAGTCCTGTCGTCACGTTAAGCACTGTCAGCAAGGACTCAGGTCCAATGTACCGGGCTGTCCTGGGCAGCTCTCAGGGCCCTTCTGAGGGCGTAAATGCCAAACAAGTGACACCCTGTTCTTGCTCCTGCGACCACAGGGCTGTGCTGAACACAGAGCTCAAGGGCGTGCTCCTTTCTGATCATTTTTTTAGAGGAAGCCAGAATGGGCCCATTGAACAAACCTGCTCCCAGACATGCGGCCGCTCTCTGCAAGCGGCGTCCACGAAAAGCAGCCGAGCTGCTCGTCCACCGTGAGCCATACGGGCTAAGCCAGCGCCTTGCAAATCCAGTGCTTAAAGCTTATGGCTATGGGAAACGCAGGGGTTTGGTTATATCAGAAGGAAAAATAAAGTATGGGCTTGTGGAAGACAGCCAAATGATGACCAACAAAAGCTGCATGAAGAACCAAAGGGAAACAAAACCCAATAAAACAAAACGAAAAAGCAGCAAGATGAACCATTTTTGCACAGTTCAGAACAGTACAATACAGGAAAAGTAGCCAGGTTTCCTTCCCCCCAAGAGTTTCTTTTAAATAAAGAATGATCCTTTGTCACATATCATTGATGTTTATTTCAAGACATGCCACGTCAAAAAAACTCGCCTTTAATATTCCATTATAAAAGCACTTTACATCTCATTCTGCCTTTAAGTTATTGTTGTGCAGAGCTGCTATAAACCCAGGGCAGGGCAGAGTCTAGCATTCGTTTCAGGAATGACGAATTCCAAATCTTTTATGCCCGTTTTCCTGGTGAAAGTGGTGGTGAGGACGATTCCCTTTCTCTTCCCCGGTTGGTTATTTTAGACGGCAGAAGAGAACAAAGGAGGAGCCTGAATATTTGCTTTGCAATTGTTTGTTTAAGTAGCAATCGCAACACAGACTCAAGAATTCCTTCCTGCACTGTAACTCTGCCATTTTCGCCCAGCAAACAATGTATTTACAATTGTGTTTATTAACTTACACAGCAACTTCACAATGACTAGTAAAGATTAAAAGGGTGCACTTCTAGTGTGTTCGATTCCGTGTTTCTCGGGTAGCTACATCTCGCGACATCAGCAAAGCTCTACACAGTTTCCTCAGCCAAACAAACCCAAAAATAATTACTGAAAAGAGTAAAAAAAAAAAAAATTAAGCATAGAAATAAATATCAAAGAAAAATGGTTAATTGTAAGCCTAGTTAAATAGAAAACTAAATTACTCGTTATTTAACCAAACTATACAGCTCTAGTGAACCAAACTAAACCAACTTGGAAGACTGAACATAAAAAAGAGCTAAAAAATAAAGGCATAAATCTGCATAATCATAAGTTGGTTTCCATCCTATTAAACACTCTTCCTCTCCATCTAAGACCTTTTAACTAGGTTCCTGTATGAGCCAAGTACACACCCCCTTCCCCAGCTGACTACCACCATGCCAGGGAACAGCAGGTGCGATTCCCCTTCCACCGCCCCTCTCTCCCCGTGAACTGGCCTGCAAGCACAGCCTTTCCTCTGGGTAATCCAGCTGCTCTTTCCTTTCTTTTCTGCCCAATTTTAAAGGTTTCAATCCGCTCCGGCAGGTTTTAGTGCCAGTCCTGAATTCACTTAAGATTTCCCCTAAAAAAAAAAAAAAAAAAAAAGAAGCAAAACGCTTTCTCCTCCAAACAGCTGAAACGTTACGTTCCCATCTCTCAGGCAGTAATCATTTACTTCATTGGTCTTCTACATGAAAGGAAAAAAAACGCTCCTAAAACTCATCTTGCACTCAAAAGATTATTTCCGTTTCCTGCAAGTGTTTTTGCTAATGCACATCCACCCTTTCCTTCCCCCCAAATCCTCCAGAAGCCATTCATCCCGTTCCGAAAGACACTTTGTATTTCCCAGTATGCTTTCTTGGAAATGTGTTCACGTTGCCTCTGCAAGAGCTCAAAAATCCAGTAGCCTTTTCGTGGTGTCAAAACCCCCGCTAAGGTTGGTTTCCAAAAAAAACCGTCTGGGGGGTTTGAAAACCACTCAAGACGATCTCTGCTCCAAAGATTAAGAGCTTGCTTCTAATTATTTTTTTTAATTATTGTAAGGATAAGCATGTAACCCTCCGCATACGTCACCTCCGCCTGCATTTCTGACTGCTGTCTAGCATTTCCAGTTTGTTAGAGAAATCAAATGGGTAAGATTTGCAAGCGTTCTTCTGCACGTACATCTCGTCTAAGTCCAATTCAAAACTTACTCAGTTTCCATCGTTTCAAAGTGCAATATCATAACATATTAAAAAAGGAACAAATATTAAGAAATTGTACCTATTTTTTTTAAAGTTATAACTAGAATATGCTGGAATATTTTGGCTTTTTTTTTTCTTATAAATAATGAAGACACTGACATTTTCTTTTTTGTGTGTGTGTGCTTGTGAAGCTAATAGATCATCTCCACGAGACAGCCAGCGATGATGAACTGCAATACGTTATTACTGAAAGGGGAAGGTTCAAGCCAATATTCACACTGCAGTCAATGAAGAGTAAAGGGAGGGAAAGCAGTGATGTTCTGGAGAAAGGTAGAAGCCACATGGTATTAGCAGGAACAGCCTCCTTCACTGACAGGCTGCTCTTGAGGCTTTTCCAGTTTTATGTCAATCACTGGAAGAAAGCAGTTAAGGCAAACGGATATACAACTTAAGTGTCCCTACCAAGCACAGGTAGGGCAGGATTTTGACTGGGATTTTCAGTTCATTATTTCCCACCATAGTATTTTCAAAAGCTCTTGAAAAGATGAAAGCTTCAAACCAAAGTTAAGATCTAGGTTTCTCAGCAGTCCCTCTTGCCCTGATAATGGAACATTTTTAAATATGTAGCACAAACCATGTCAGACCCCAAATGTTTGTCTCTAACCAGTCTGCTCTCCCCCAGTGAGCTCTTATTAGAATCATTAGGGTTGGAAAAGACCTCTAAGATCATCAAGTTCAACCATCAACCCAACCCCACCATGCTCACTAAACCATGTCCTCAAGTGCCGCATCAACACGTTTTTTGAACATCCTTAGGGATGGTGACGCCACCACTGCCCTGGGCAGCCTGTTCCAATGCTTGACCACTCTTTCAGTAAAGAAGTTTCCCCTAATATCCAACCTAAACCTCCCTTGGCACAACTTGAGGCCATTTCCTCTTGTCCTGCCACTTGTTACTTGGGAGAAGAGACCGACCCCCACCTCACTACCCCCTCCTTTCAGGTTGTTGTAGAGTGATAAGGTCTCCCTTCAGCCTCCTCCTCTCCAAACTAAACAGCCCCAGTTCCCTCAGCTGCTCTTCATAATTCTTGTGCTCTCAACCCCTCATCAGCTTCACTGCCCTTCTCTGAACACACTCCAGCCCTTCAATGTCCTTCTTGGATTGAGGGTCCCAAAACTGAACACAGTATTTGAGGTGCAGCCTCACCAGTGTCGAGTACAGGGGAAGGATCCCTGCCCTGGTCCTCCTGATCACGCTATTCCTGATGCAGGCCAGGATGCTGTTGGCCTTCTTGGTCACCTGGGCACACTGCTGGCTCATGTCCTGCTGTTTGTCAACCAGCACCCCCAGGTCCTTTTCAACCAGGCAGCTCTCCAGCCACTCCTCCCCAAGTCTTCTTGGTCTAAAGCTAACCCACCTCGTGTACTTACACCACCCGCAGCTCACAGATGCGATGCTCCTTAACACTCCCATCAATCCTTCCTCCACTTAAACCACTGTGCTCACTCCACTGCCAGCCCACAAAGCCCCTGAACTCTCCCTTTGCGATGACAGCTAATCTCCAACAAGAACATCAGGTCACTGGAGAGCTCGCTGCTCTGAACCAGCCCGAGATAAGCTGCTCCCTTTGTGGCACTCAAATTCCCAACGGATGCCCCACAGTTACAGCACTTCCGTAGCCTTTCACAGGAGCAGCTTTAAATGCTAATCCCCAAAACCGACTCACAGCAGCTCAGTGGAAGTCTCAAGCATTTTCCTTATCAGTTAACACAGAGGCAAACAGGTCACACAGCGGGTACTTCCAAATTATTTCTTTAGGGGGTTGAAGCTGCTTCTTGCAGAGGTCAGGAGAAAATAAACACAAAAAGGGAAAAAAAAGACCAATATTTCACCTTGAATACCTGGTCCATTTGGCTGTTGTAAACCTCAACACATTTTTAAGTCAGAGATGCTTGCAATGAGCCTTGCCCCAGCTTCATTACTGACCATAAGCAGTTCAAGATCCTTGAACCCTCAATGTTCTGCAAAAAAGCCTATGAAAAATCCCCCGTCATTAATCCTGGTGCAGCTGTTTGGGAGACAATCATATGCAATTTCTGCTATCTACAGCCTGCAGGAAGTCAAATTCAAAGTGCCCTTATTGCACTGCCATTTAGAGACCAGCGATCAAACTCCCTGATAGGGAAACCGCCAGTGCACGCTACCACAATCCTCACTAATAAAGATTGTTGTTCATTAACCTTTTGGTGACTTGCATAACTAAATGGTTTTGATCAATCAAGTCCATAGTGCACAAAGCTTGTGCCTTGGCAGCTGCAATCCACAGCTTTCCAAATCCTCCTTCCCCCTCTGCAGTAAGATGGTCTCCAGGAGATGCAGTTTCAGCCCCAAGTTTGTTCCCTCCCACAGCTTCTGCCGCATCCTTCCTCCAAAGCACCATTTCCCAGCTGCCAGCTATGTGATCCTCGCTGCAAATAAAACTGGCAACTCTGAAAAAGTTCCTCTACTCAAATAAGCTTGCTCAAACCCACTTCTACCATCCCAGCAATTCTTTCAATCAAGCTGCAATGCAACCCCTCTGCTCCCACCTGTAAGTACCTTTTGTCCATTCACCTCCCATCCACCACTCTTGCTCTCCACCTGCTGTATCCAAGTGAGCAGAGGGTAGTCAGGTGGGACTGTAAGAACATAGCCAGCTGACTAGGCAAGAAATTCAGATTTAACTCCTTGTTACGAAGAAAGTTTTCTCTGTTTTCCATCCCACACGCCACCGCCTTACCCTTCCCTAATGCTGTTCCCTTCAGTTGAGCCTGCATTGCCTGCTCAGAGCTGTCTGGGGCCAAGCACTGTAACATGCTGCCCTGGGAGGTTATGGGATCTCCATCCTTGGAGACTTCTGAAGTTTCCCTGAGAAACTGGCCTGATTTTGGAGTTAGCCCTGCTTTGAGCAGCAGGGTTGGACAAGGGATCTACAGGGGTCCCTTCCAACCTAGCTTATCGTAGGATTCTCCAAATCAGATCTTGCAAGAGCCACAGAGGTTGTTTCAGGCCTCTTTGAGGCAGTTTTCTCCCACTCCATAGTCTCCCCCTTGCTCCCCACATCCCATCTGCTCAAACACCAAGCAAAGAATCTTTCTGGATCTGTTTGCACACTTCTACACCTTCCTGCTGTCCTCCCTTCAGCTTTCATTCAGTTGTCCTCACTTTTACACTGCCTCATAGCCCTAAACATCCCTTCTTCCTCTGCTTTATGGTATAGGACTCAACCCTTAACATCCCAAGCCTTCTTCCTCAGTACTTCAAGCTCAAAGGTTACTTGCCCCTGTTCCCCCTCTTTTTGGGATGTCCATATGCTGACCAAGGGCTGCAGGAGAGATATTGCTCCCTCCTTCTTTGTCCTTGTTATTCAGGGCCTGCATTTCCCTCGTCCACAGCAATGCCTGGCAGCGCTTTGCCACCACTGAATCGCAGCACAGAGGCATAAAGGATACTGTCTTCTCTACTTTTGTCTTGTGTGCTTTCCATTCCAGGCAAGGCAGCTGCCACGCGTCGGAAAAGCTGCAAAAAAACACAGGGAACAGATCAAAACAATTGTACTTTAAAGAGTGCGCACGCCGGTTGATACAGTTCAAACAATGATTCAACACATCCTTCGGTACTATTTACACTGCTTACACCAAAAAGCCTGACACCAAATATAACCTTTATTCTTAGGAAATGGCAAAGCACATTTTTGTTGCTATTGAAGATCAAATGTCACTGGCTGCAAGGAACAAACCATCTTATCACCTTCTCTGCAAATATGCTCTGTTTGGAATCCAGCATTTCCACCTCACATCTGCCACAGTCCACACACCCCAAAAGCTTCCCCACGTCAGGTGGGAACTTGGTCTTGACACTTCCACAGAGTATCAGTTACACACTTACAAATTCACACACAACATCCAGGAATCTGCCACCAATATCAGCCAAGCTGGCACATTCATAAGACCATCAGAAGAGGGGATGTATGTAGTGACATCCCCTAAACATCTTCTGTATCTGTGGCTCAGGCTCCCTTTGAACCAGACAACGGATCTTTCTTTCAGGAATTTGCCCAATGCTTTTCTGAGCACCCTCAACTTTTGGTACCTACTCCATTGTCATTGTATGTCCAGCCCACACCCAGGTTATAAAGCACTGAACACGCGTTGATTGCACTTGCAATCCCAAAGCAGTTGTTCTGCCTCTCACTTGGACATCATTTCCAGTTTCCCAGCAATGCCTTAGCTCCACACTCTCCACATAGTTTTATTCCACTTGAAGCAGGCTAAGACTGAACAGGACCAATTCCCTGTCTCACATTTCATACCCTTGCCTCCAAGGCTCAGTCTTGTGGTTCCCACCACATGGCATTTCCCCAGCCCTCCAGGCGAGGAGCCTACAGATTTGCCACTACTAATACATGAGAATTAACTTGAATTTCCTGAGCCCACAGTAGTTTGTCTTCTCCTGCACAGGAACAGCTCAGTTAAGAACTGTTCTTCAGCTGCGTGTGATTTCTCTGAGAAGCTGCCGTGTTACTATATATTTATTTTCTGCACATTATCAAGCACCCAGGACACCAGATGTTCCCAAGCACTCAACAGCTCCACCTGTGGGCATGTTAAAACCACCCCACTGCATGCCCAAGAGCAGCTTGGGAGTCCCAAAATGCCTGGTGCAAGTCTGACATCAGCCTTAACGTGTTAAATTGACATTACAGCACATTATCTCACTCCTCTCCTCAAATGACACAAAGCTAAAGCACTTATTCCCAGTGACCTACTTTCCACAGAAAATGGAGCCAAGCCACTGTCAGTCTGGTTTTGTTATGAATGGAGGTACCTGAGCACCTTTGCAGATCAGGGCCCAAGGGCTTTCACAAATTTGGCCCCAAGTGTCCAAATGACGCTGGGAAGACATTGAGACAATGTCGTTGGCTTGACAAGTTCCCTTTCAACTTAACCATGAACAGGCCCCCAGGTTTGCAAGGCAGGAAAACAAACACACGATGCTCCTCAGTGTCTGACCTCTGCTGTCACCGCTGTTTGTTACCGACTGAAGAGACTGCGATGTGAGGAGAGGACACAACTGACACGCAGGAAGCAGCAAAGCCGCTTTCCTTTCGCCATTCTCAGCATCTCCCTCATAACCACTCCAGAAGCCTCAGCATCCTCACCTCTTTTCCACCAACAGCAACACCACTTTGTGGGCATTCACTGACATCTGGACTGAGACAAGGATTTGGGTCTGGGAAACCAGAGCTTGATGTATCTCACCGGTTTTAGCCAACAATTTCAAGGCAAAAAAATCTTAGTATTCCCCTCAAAGTTTCTACGAACCTTTGCCATTATGGTGAGTCTCCCAGCCTTACTGAAAAGCTCAGGCAAATTCTCATGTGCCAACAAAGAAATAACAAAGATCACGTCAAAATTCCAGGTGCTAAACCATACCAGCAACCAATGCAGAACAGATTATGCACAACCACCCAAAAGTATAGAGGCAAGAGACTTCTTGGTCAGATTCAAGGTAATTTTGACACAAGGAGAAGCTAAACATTGCTCTAATTGTAACCCTTGTACAAAAAAATTGTTATCAGTTGAGCTCACTACTTCTTGTTACAGTACCTGCTTCCCTCATCTCACCACCACACTTCACTCTGCTTGAAAACTGTGACTAGCTGTTTCCAAGCATTTTAAAAGCAGTCAGATATGAGCACTCTGGCGTATAAGAATGAAATGGCAGAGAAAAAGAGGCTGCAGACTTTCAGAGCAATCTCCCATCATATCCTCATGGTCAGCACTATTTTTCTTTGCCATTCCAACCAGATAAGAGGACACCACCGAGAACCTCCTCAGCTTTATGACTTTTCAAAAGGCTTTTCATTCACTCAGTACAGCATTAGACTACTCATTATAAGTTTTTTGCATCTTGGAGATGATCAAGGAAGTAACTGAGATTCAATCCCATCTTACTCTGGAAGCCTTAAAAGTTTTAGCACTATATTTGAACCCACAGGCGCGTTACAGTCAGTTTCGACATTTTCCTTGCCTTTATCTGTCCTCAGTGAACTTCCCGACTCAATCACATCTGGGTACAGAAGGTTCTGAATCTCACTCTTCACTGAGCTTTGTCCCTAAAATTACTTCTACTCCCAAAGCATTCAGTATTCAGTGAGCTTTCACAGGTTGATTAACAAACCTCATCTTCAATTTTATGAAGGAAAAAAAAAAAAGGAAGAAAAAAGGCTTATTGGACAGCCACCAGACTGCACTGCAAAATATTAAAATACCACCTACAGCCACACTTTCAGAAGGGTACTGGGATGTTGTCAATGCATAAATAGATGAGACTGTAAACTCTGCTCCTCTCTGCACATCACTTCACAGCTAACTCTATCCTACTTAGCTCTGCAGGGTTAAACCTCTTGTTCCTGCTGCTAAGCAAGTGGTGCATTAGAGGTAAAGAATGGAGCAAATGAGCTTACCTACCCTTCCAGTACACTGCCTTTTTTTTTTTTTAATCATATTCTGCAGTCTTAAGAGTAATTTTGACACAGTTCTTGATGCAGGAGGTTTGAGAGGGACTAAAAAACCCCCCCATCAGTTTTAAGGATGAATATGCAACAGAGGTTGGTGCAATCCTATCAGATCGTGCCAAAGGATGCTCACTTGACATCTCTGCTCTGATAAAAAGAAGAAAATGCATAATCTCATACAGCTCTGCTGATGTCACGGGCTTTGAGATCCTAGATGGAAACAGTATCACCAACAGAAATGGTTATAAACTGTGGCATCGCTGTTTATTTTCCCCTTGTACAATACCTAGAAAGTGAGGGATGCAGATTATGGATGGGAGGGAGTGGGAAATCTTGAAGAAAATTCAGTTGCTGTGAACCAAGTAGAATTATTGCATTTAAACCAAGCTGCTGACAGAAAGGCTAAGTGTTTAAAATACCATAATCCTTTCTTTACATCAAGATCAGGAATAAAATTATGCCTTTAGGAGTATTTCTCTCCTAAATTACTTGACTAAAAAAAGAAATTTGGGAACTAAGAAAATCAACTTTCTTTCTTATTAACCACCTGCTTATCAGCCACAGCATATGTGAACAAATCCAATTAGGGAAACTTCATGATGGTTAGAAAGCTGTCTTCTACGCAGGGACCTCACTGCTTCACAGCACCTTCAGGACTAAAGCCAGCAGCTTTATCTCACTGAAAAATGTTGCAGGCAGTTGCGTATATATATATAGATATATAGATATAGATGCATATATCCTATACTGTATATATACATACACATGTCTAAATATTTGTGCATAAGTGTGTATAAAAACACGTGTATTGGTGAGCATTCAGGACTTTTTTCCCAAAGCAGGAGTTAAATGCAGTTATCTGAAAGACCGAGAGCCACACAAAGTCCCTTTCAGCATTCAACCCTGCAATCTCTTTCCCGATTAAACTCCCCAAAAGCCCTCATCTCTCGCCATTAGTTTCAATTCATTTGCCAAACTGCCCTTCCTACTCCTCCAGCCAATAAATCCACAGCAGATCAGTGTCACAAACGACTGCGGGCATGAAACAGTTTTCACTGTAACGCTCCTGCAGCAATATGTGAAGGACAGGGGGATCACAGTCCAGATGGAAAAGCCAAGCAAGAAACCCCTTCCCCAACGCAAACAAAAATGTTTCCCTAATCTTCATTCTTTGAGGACCGCGGTGCAACTCAATGTATAATTCCTGCCTATCAGATAGACAAAAATCAAGACAGGAAAAAGAGCCAAGTCTCTAGATGCAGCCAGCTCTGTGAAAACAGGGTTACTCGAGGGGCCACGGTCCTTTAGCTTCTGCCGTGAGAAAGTTTTTCTGCCAAATAGCACATTGAGCCAGTAGCTCTTTTGAGAGCAAAGCGCAGAGCGTGCCAGGTACTGCTGTAAGGAGGACTTTAGGGCTCTCCCTCCCCTCTCTTTCTACAAGACAGCAGAATGAACCCTGACATATTCTGGGCATGAAATCCACAGCCTAACAATAAGATTCCCTGAAATACAGACTGCCGAGATAGAGCATGAATCTCAAAGTCTTTTAAGGCTTATTCAGGGCTGGCAAATAAAATGAATTGGAGACTACGATTCCCTGCATTAAATGAAGCAAGCTATCTACTTCTCTGCTCAGCCTTAAAGCTCCCCTGGCAATCAGTCTTTGCTGAAACTTGCAGGATCCAAAAGCCATGTTTTTCCCCTCTATCGCACCAATTTAAGCCCAGAATAATACTATCACCATTTTTACTCTATAATATCATCCACTCATTTTTCTCTCAACACCTCCTCCCCAAAGCCAAAAGGAACATGCATATAGGACCCTGGTGACAGCTTTACCTTACCAGATCCAACAGTACGTAACCACAGCCATATGTTACAATCTCGTTTGACCGTATGCAACTAGGAAAGATGCCCCAGCTGCCCCTGCAGCTCATCAGATCCGTCCTTGGGGGAAAAAAATGCCAGGGAAGTCATAAAATTAAAACCTGCCACGTCCAGGTTTCAGCCAGCACGTACAGAGGCTGCAAATTCTCTTCTCTGTAGTGACCACATGGAGATGCACCTCGAAGCCTCTAAACCAAGGCACTTCCACCTCAGACTCAGTACTCTGTTAGCTGAGGTGCCATCTTCTGAGCTGTTCCCTTTCATGTCACAGGGAAATGGCAAAAAAAGCCTGTCAGCAGTACAATCCCCTCGATTTCTTTGTTGGTAGAAGATCCTGGCAGTGAAATCCATGCTGTCTGAAGTAGGATGCAACTCACCTTCTGGAGTTACACTACAAAGCCAGGCACTCCAGATTTGTAGGACAGCTACAGTGAGTACAGAGCTTAAGACAGTGCCCCTTCCTCTTATCAGTGCTGCTTTCCAGCAGAAAAAAGATGAAAAAGCTAGAAGTAGCACACAAGGTCAAAAGTACCCTGACTTCCCCTTGACGGCCAGCAAACAAATGACACAGCCAAGGAGGTGAAAAAGTCTTAGCCATGACTCTCCCAAGGCAGGACAAGGAATTAGGCTGTTTTTGCATCCTTAATGGGGCAAACACTGCTTCTGAAACCTTGTGAACAGCATCCCTTGGGCCAACACAAATACCACTGAGGTTCTCCACCTGTGATGATGCTATTCTTCAACATTCGACCAGAACTGCAATGAGGTCAGTGCCCCACAGCACCTCCCAAGCTGCCAGAATGGCTGCCTCTGCTCCTGCTGACCCTGCCTGGCACAAGGACTTGTTTGCACACAAGTGACACTGGAATTCACATCTCTCACCTGAAAAAGAGGATGGAAAAAAAGCCATTGAACTGTTCAAGGCTGCCAAGTGAAGCACTGACAACTGGAGAAGTTTTAATACTGGAACGTGAGAGTTTTGCAAGGCGGGGAGGGAGGGGGGAAGAAAAAAAAGAAAAACAAAACCAAAGCAGAATAGTTCATATGCCCTAACCTACAGATTTCAGTCATGTGCAGTATCAAATCTTCATGGTAATTGCTAAATCTGAACCTATAACCTACTGAACAAACAATGACTCACCACTAGCCAAGTCTCACCTTTACATTAAATATCCAGCTTTAAGTGATCTTAATTTCTACCTAAATGTGTTTCATTATATGTAGTCACAATATGGACTTTGTATGTAAAATAATTTGACACTTTAAATAAAAATGCTGTATGAAAATTAACTTTGACAGTAACTGTTCTTCAGAATCAGAAGCTATCGTAGATAGAAGTTACCAGTTACGAGAAGGTCAAATACACATTCAGCTTATGACAGGAAGACTTTTATATAGCACCCATTCTGCAGTTATACTCATAGGCTTTCCCATTCACTGAGGAAGAATTTATTGACAAGTGAATAAAATAAATTCATACCATTCAATAGAGAAGCTGCAAAGAAAACAGAGAAATAGATAACTAGTGGCATTAAAAGTCTTATCCTTTGAGAATTGTTTCAACAACTACTTATTAAACTAATAAAAAAGTTTCAAATATTCTGCAGCATAGAGCAGCTTTGAAGTTCCTGAAAATCCCAGTCCACGCCTGCAACACAAGGATCAAAAATCAGAAGAAAAAAAAATAATCCATTTTTAGTTCTTTTTGAATAACCACTTCTGTCTTTTGTTTTCATATTTTACACATAGAATGAAGTCACTTAAAATCTGTCCTCTTGTCCAACTTTGACAAGGCTTCACACTACATGAAGTATCCACTTGGATTATGATGCAGTGATATGCAACAGTCCCAAGTTTTCACGATGTTACTGTTTATTGATGTTAGTGAAGAACAAAAACGATGTCTCTGAACACCAAATCTTCCATTTAATACAGAGGGAACTGGCCCCCAGGTTCCCACCACCACTTATTTCCAGACCTATTTTCTTACAGAAGTAGTCTTACTGCACGTAACCTTACTGCACGTAAACTCAAATCAGAGGCGTAATTTGTCTAGACCTCCGTTATACAACTAAGAATTTTCTCTGGAGAGTGCGCAAGTGAGGCTACACCTGCAGAAATGGTTTTATGCTCTGGCAATCTCGTTAGTACAATCCCCGAACGGCTTCAGCATAAAATACAAAAAGACAAAGTTTGCTCCTTCATAATGTATTAAATGGAGCTACCATCCTTCACGACGAAGGCTGTAGTAGCTTCACAAAGCACAAGTTTTATTAAACGACAGTATCTTATGCCAAAACGGATTATGGGTTTACCATACAAGATTTTCCTACTTACATCAGAACTCCAACTGGCCCCAAAAGCCACAAGCTACCTTACAGGCTTGGACGTGGACTTCTGGAAATGTGTCAGCTGCTTCCCTCAAGGAAAGGGGGAGTTGTTCATCACCATCATCATTCCTCTCAGTGAGGCAACTGCTCTCAAGTGCACACTCCCAGCTGAAGTAGCCATTAAGGATTCAGGCACAGAATCCAAGCCTTAATTACAAGGCAGCCTTCGTGTTGTGGCAGGATAATTGGTGGACCCTGGAACCGAACACTTTTCTGCTTGCTAATGCACTGAAATGCAGTGCTAAGCTCACAGGTCTAATTATTCCATTATATAGGGAATAATTTTGCTACTAATATACCAAGTTAAGGGACGTTTTAATAACAGACCCTGTAGTCCTGTCTGCAACATACAAAGTAATTTATAACCCTGTTTTAGCAACTCCTTATACAATTCTGCATTCAAACTATTTGTGTAACTACACATATATATAAAATATACACGTGATGCACATGCGTGCATGCATTTGCTCTGTGGAGACACCCAAGAACAATGTTTTCTGCATCTTGCACTCCTGTTTTTCCTCCTACCATAAGACCAGCTGCCAAATGCTTTAGCGGTCAGGACTCCATATGAATGCAGCAGCAGTGTCCCGTCATGCAACGAGTCAGCAGGGACACACAGCTCTAGCTCTCTGCTCATGATCTGCTAGTAAGCATATTTGCTCACACAACTAATAAGCTCAAACACAATTTCTTTCATGTAAACATCAGATCAGTTCCACAGTGTTTACTACTCTCACCAGTTCACTGTTTGCCAAGTGATTTATCTTCATTAACACAAGTGCAAAAACTTCATCCAGCAGGTCAGGATTTAAAGAGCCATCTCACAGCATAAAACCCAATTTTGTTCTAGTTGCATCAGCTCAGAAGACATTTCACTGCTTTTCCTGATTCAAAAGCAAATCATCATCTACCAGAAATAGTTCTGGCTGTCCAAGAACACTTGCTCACACTGCCAGTGTCTTCCAACAAAGTGGGAGCACCAGATCACAGTGCCTCACTGTACAGTGGGAGCATTTTAAGCCACCACATTCCTCCTTGACTGGTTTGCCCACATTCTTTCACTGAATTGATACCAGAAACAGTCTTCAGACCTGTGTTTCCCCAACTTTTTGGCTCATGCCTTAATCCCTCCAATCTAAACACCACAACTGGATTATCAAGGATCCAGGAAGGTGCAATTCCACACCCACAAAGCTTCTTCAATAATTCCTCTTTGCTAAGAGGAAAGAAGTTCCAAGTAATTTACTGCAAGGTCAGAGATCCTCCTGAGCCTCAGACACAGAATCACAGCATAGTCGAGATTGGCAGGGACCTCTGAAGATCATCCAGTCCAACCCCTGCCAGAGCAGGATCACCCAGAGAAGATCACACAGGAACACGTCCAGGCGGGTTTTGAATGTCTCCAGAGAAGGAGACTCCACAACCTCTCTGGGCAGCCTGGCCCAGTGCTCTGTCACCCTCACAGGAAAGAAGTTTTTCCTCATGTTTAAGCTGAACCTCCTGTGTTCCAGTTTGTGACCACTGCCCCTTGCCCTGTCACTGGGCACAGCTGAGAAGAGTCTGGTCCCATCCACCTGACACTGCCCTTTAGATATTTATAAGCATTTAATGGAGATCCTCCCTCCGTCTCCTCTTCTCCAGGCTAAACAGTCTCAGACAGTCAACAAGTTGACTCCAAGATGTTGCTTGCTGTGCATGGACTACAAACATCCCTCTGTTCCCTTGGCAAAGGCTTCCCAAAGTCTAGGGAAGTCCTATGTGTAAAATGGTGCACTGACAGTCTCAGGGCTGGTTGTGGTCACGTTACTCACCTGTTTTACGTTGTATCCTGCTTTTGCACTAGTTTCGATGAACATTACATTCAGCTCTTTGGCTTTTCTTTCTCCTTCCTCAATGGACACTTGTCTGGGGAAGATAACACAGAATTAGGAAAAAAATCCAGACCAATACCTTGAAAATTAAGATTTCTGTCTTCAACCCAGGAAGGTGACTGCTTCATTACAGTTCTGAAAGCATTTAGTGGTTTGTGGTTTTTTTTCCTGCATACAGATGCCACAAACTGAGCACAGTTGTAGACCAGTATCCCCATTTCACCAAACCAGATGGATTTCCATGGTACACCTGGCTTACCCCGTAGAATTCAGCTTCCCAGTGGAACAGCAAAGTGGCCAACCTGGCTCCTCTAAACCCCTAGCCCAGAAGTTATGCTTTTATATCTGAAAAATTAGCAATCAACAGATTTTAATACTCAGTAATAACTGTCAACTTGCAGCCTACCAAACTATTTTAACAAATGACCAAGTGTAACCACCTCTTCTAAAATTATTTTTGTCTTGTTTTTCCCTGGCTGGGCGTCCTACCCATTAAGCAGTTTCCTACAGCAAAAACTGGGGGAAACTTTGGTTCAAGAGCTGCCAAATGAAAACCATGAGGTATATTAGGGGGACATATATGCATAAACAATTCTTAAATAGGATGTTACAAATCTGATGTAAGGGTCATAAGTGAAGTTATTCTGAGGAATTGACATCCAGAACACTTCCATCTCATGCTTTTGTTTTACCTTTGTGACTTCTAAGTCATTTGTGTTAATATCATAAACCCAGCATAAGCAGCAAATACAGCAAAAGCTGAAGATGCTCAACTTTTAAGAAAAATATTTAAGTTTGCCAGCTTATGAAAACTCCTGAAGAGTTTTAAAAAGGGAGGATTACTTGCACCCATCATTTTTATCCGAGCAAATCTATCGAGCATGAATATTTGTTACAACATTATCTTATTCATTCACTGATGCAGGTTGTAGCTAACGCTCCATTCTCTCCCGACATATGAACAAGCTGGTGACAACTTCTCAACTTGTACACAACATTGTGCTGGAAACTTGTGCTTAACCAAAATGAGCAAAGCTTTAGAGCTGAGGTTTCTCTAGTCACAGCCATCTCCTGCACAGTTAAAACAAGCCTGACCATTTTGGAAAAACAAACAAACAAAAAACTAACAACAAAAAACCCAAGCATTCTTTTAAAAATAGTTGTCTAGGAGCAAACAGCAGCAGATTAAGAAAAGCATTTGAAGATAAGTTATTCCTCCATACCTCTTATCTGCTAGATCTGTTTTATTTCCCACCAGCATAATGATGACATCACTGCCCCTTTCCGTTCTGACATCATCAATCCATTTCGTTGTTTGCTGGAACGAGTTTACATCTGACGGAGAACAGTACAGAGGATTATCACTGCAGGTATTCTTCACACATCACCAGTAAATACAGCTGTAAGTCTCAAATAAAGGCTTCATATTCTCTGGAACTGGCATAATAGGGCGATGAAGAATCAGCAAGTGAAACCCTAAGTCTCCCACAGTGACATATATGAAAATTTTAGCCTTAATTTCAAATGGGCTAGTACTTCATTACAAGTGAATTTCAAAGTCAGGGAGCGAATGGAATTGATCTAGAATTTGGTTTTGACAGCATCTAAAATGAGAAGTCTTATCATTGTGTTTAGACCAGTTGTCTTTTTTAAAAATTCAACATAAAGTATTTTATATAGAGAATATGGATTAATATGATATTGCATTCTACACTGTTCATGATTTCTGCATCTATAGCAAGAGGTTCCTACCATTTCACCGCTTCTCAAAAATACTTCACATTTTATACAGCTTAATCACTTTTCACTTAAGAGGTGCAGGATTTTCTCTAGAAAATATCAGGGTTATCCAGCATAGTAGCAATTCCTGTATCATTGTACACTGAGTTCAAAAGTTTCCAAATCGTTTGCATAGAACCAGAAATACAAATTTAGCCTATCCATAGCCACTTCTTCTTAATGATACATCCTTAAAAGCTGCAAGGTAGGAATTTTAGGAAGCTATCCTGATCTAATGAGGCAGTTGTTTGAAAAATTGCATCCTGTAAGGAAAAACAAGTTGTCTATAAGCTGCCAGGGAGCTCGGCATTTGCCAGTTGGCCAAACAAAGAGCACTGGACTTGCCAAAGTAGTTTTTCAGTACTTAAAGACGGGAGAACTCTGCGGCAGTTCTTGACAACTATTGATCTTTTTAAATGGCTTCTGCTGCATAGTAATATATTGTATGCTAGATAGTGAAGACTTGATCACTTGCCAGCATCTAATTCTTCTCTTTACTACTTGGTAATACTGAATTTGATAGGTTGGTAAAAAAAAAAATTCAAAGTTCACAGCTAACCTGTAATTTTAGCTCAAGCGAAGGCGCTATTTTTAACAATTAAAGCTTTTATAGGTAAAGCCCATGTTCCTGCTGTAATCTTCTAGCACTTCTAAATCAAAGGATGAGTGCTTTAGCGTTGGTATATAATTAGGCCATTGCCCTCAGTCAATTTGGTTTAAAACTGAAAGTGTCTGAAGGTTTAGCTCTTCTAAAACAAGATTTCTATGCTTTGCAAATACTGAAGGCTAGTAAATTAGGGGTCTCTGGACTGAGGGAGGGACAGAAGGAGAAGGGTTGAAAAAGCACTACTATTTTAGTTCACAGAAATGTACATACCTTAGTAAGGAATGAAAGAGCAATTGTTAAAGGATAAAGGGCTTAGTGGTAAGTTTTACACACTGCAAAAATTGAAAGTGAATGATTCAAATGAAAATGTGATGTTAATGTGTTTTCCCCCCAGCCCATGCCCATATTTTTCTGGGGGTTGGAGAGGGCAAATGGAGTGAAGCAAGCTACAGCTATCAGTGCAAAGTCTCTAATTAAAGGATTCTGATATCTATGAGTATGATTCAGGTGTTTGAGACCAAAAATCATAGGTGATATTACAACCAAAAAGCAAATGAAAGAGGGTCAAGTGCAACAAGACCAGCCAGGACTCAAGGCTTCAGGAGAATGCGATAGGAAAGGGTTACAAAATGACGTTGTTTGTAAGACAGTTTATATGTTACAACAGCAGTGATCAGGTGGCTACTGTAAAACTTGACTACAATAAAAGAAAACTTTTTTGTCATGCCAGAATGAAGAACAAGCAGATGACTGTGATAGGACATGCAAAGCTAGGCTAAAGGATGAAAGGGGCAGAGTATTAGAAATGCAGAATTCCCCCCACTCACTTGTGATATCATAAACAACAACTGCAACAGTGGAGTCACGAATGTAGCTAGGAATCAAGCTCCTGAACCGTTCTTGACCTGCTGTGTCCCATAATTGCAACCGTACCTAACAAAATCAGTCAAACAAGCAAGAAAAATAAGAAAAAGGTCAAACCCAGTGCAATATACCTACTTGTGATATCGTAAACTACTACAGCAGCAGCAGAGTCACGGATGTAACTGGGAATGAGGCTACGGAAACGTTCCTGACCCGCAGTATCCCACAGCTGCAACCTGATCTGTGGGTGGGAGAAAATTAAAAAAGCCAAACTGCCACTAAAAATAAAAGAGTAAATTAATTTTACTTGTTGAAAAAAGCTAAACAAAAACTAGAAACTCATGCAGGCGATGACTGGGGACTGGGAGGAGCAGCATACCATGTCCTTTAACGCAATCTCTCCCAAGCGCTAGCAGTGGCCAAACTGGTGTATGTGCACCTATCTTGGCTTTCCGCCGGTTTTGCTTTCTAAAAAAATGCTTCCCTTCCAAAAGAGGAGAAATAGAATTGCTCAGCTTTCAAACTGAGAGGACCAACAAGAAAACTAAAACAAACGTTCACCTGTGGTTCTGCCTACACGGGGTTTTCATGCTCTGCTGCTAAACTTCCTCAGGACTCGATCACGTCCTCTCCAGCGTGCTGGAGAAGAATCAGACCACACACCATACTTCTCAAGCAAGAGCCTTCAGCTGCTGTCAAAGCACTGGAAAAGCTACTAATTTGAGTTTTTTTAAGGAGGATAAAAGTTATGACTCTAAATTAAGCCTTAGCCACACTACAAAGTAACATGCACACAGATGAGGCTGAATGTCTCTTACCATCAAGGTTCTGAAAGAAAAGATAACTTATACTAAAAGCAAGACATATGGCAAGATGTTCAAGGGCCAGTTTTGCTATGGAAAGATCATCCCATCACTCAAGCACTTTCAAAGCAATCACATTTATTGTGGGCTTAGACAATACCATACGCTTAGGCAGCACTGCACAATTCGCTTCTGCAAATAGCTCAGTGGCTGCATTTCTTAATTAAGAATCTGAGCTCATTTTAAACCACAGGCTTGCTTCCACAGAGGAGTGATTTCATGGCAGGAATTAGAGCTGCACTGAGCTAAGAAATGAGCATCATTTGTGGATCACTGTGAAGGCAACCTTCTTTTTAAACTAGTAATTCTAAGACCTATCAAGCTAGCTATTCATTGGCAGCATTTGGCAGTTTGTATTTTATCCTTCCGTCTTGTGACATCAAAACCAGACGGGGTTAAGCATGGTCCCCTTCTCCAAATTCCCACTGTTATGCAAACTATCCATATAATTTTCTTCAAAGAGAATGACACTATAGGGGATGACACTGCCACTTGTGAACTGGCACTCATGAGCCCTCTGCAGAGGAACCAAACGGAGATTTCCCATTTCTCCAAGCAGAAAAGGGAGCTGTCTCCACAGCCCTCATCAGTCTGGAAGCAGCTTGCAGATGAAGGCTCAGTGTGCACTTCCAAGTGATCTCAGAACTGTGGGCTGCACAATGACAACAGATGCCGATCCTCATTCCTACTGTACAGAGAGAAGTGCAACAAAAATCTTACTCACTGTTCGATCCTCCAAATACATGGTTTTCGATAGGAAGTCAATGCCAATTGTTGCCTGTAAAAAAATGAAAAAAACAGCACCTCTTAAATGAAGCATCAGAATAACTGCAGTGATTTTCAGGGGAGTGAGAATTACTGCCAAGTCAGGATTCAGCACCTGTAGTGGATCTGAAAGAAAAATGTTGGTTTTGGGTGGTTTGTTTTTTGGTTTTGGTTTTTTACTGTCAGGATGTAACTCTACCTATAAGGTTCAACATGCAGTTTTCCTTCATATCCATAACCAGAACAATATCTTAAAACACAAAAAGTTCTTGACTTCTGTTTAACTGCACATTGACAGTTTAATCCATACAGTCTCATGGATATCAGTTAGGATTTTTATGTATATGACCTAAGTTAGTATCCATCAGCTGAACCAGGATATCTGGGTGCACTGTATTCTTCTTGACTGCCAAATATCTTAATGCAACTTCATTTTAAGTCGTTTTAATTAAGGCTAAAGTGGACATCTTCACATTTGCTGCAACAAATGGCTCTCACCGATCCCTAAAGCTCAATTAATACTAAAGCTCACTACAGCACAACTGCATCCAAGTTTCTAGACGCTAGTGGGAGCTTCAGTAGAACATCCTTTTAAGTGTTTAAGAGAAAGAGCAAAGCACTACTAAGTGCTATCAAGAGCTGCTGCTTAAATACAAGACTTTCACCCCATTTTTCAAGGCTGCAGTGAGGGTGAATCCAAGCTCTAGGGGTTCATTTGCAGCAGCAACGATGAAGCTGACCTGTTGGGGCCAAAATGCTGCCCTGGCTTCAGCAGGC